AATAATAATAATGATGATGGCTTTCTCAGATACTGTTGCTGATCAGTGCGGTGCAGGTGGTATGTCCCAGTCATGTTGTTAAAGCCAAATTTGAGAATGATGGAATGGAAAGGGCAGCTAATTCTTCACAAGCAGTAGAATTTTATAACTTCTCTGTGTGGAAGAATTTGACATCAAGCAACTGTTGTTTGCTTTTCCAGTGTCCCTTCATTAGAAGTATTACTCTTCACTCAGTCTCTGCTTGATCAACAGTATTTTAAAATACAGCCTGCTATTACATATGTAGCAAAGCCCTTTCTCAATACCATGTATGCTTTTTTTGGCCAGAACAAGGTAGTTTTTCCTTCATACCCTGGGAGCCTTTCAGCAAAATTTCAAGGGTAAACAGCAGTCTTAAGGTGTGCCTAGAGAAAGCTTCTTCCCGCTTAAGAGAAACTTTGCTGTATTATAGGTTGCCCTGGCCATCATTCCTGTTGTGACTGCCTTTTCTATGAAGTTGCTTTTCTCCTTTTTCTGTTCACGTCTACAGTATTGTTACATGCGTTTGCCTCTGTTACACAAAGCAGGCGCATTTCCCTGAGGACGATGGCTCTGCTCTTTCAGCAGGAACCAGAGAACACTGATAACTGTGCACAAACAAAGATCTTTCTTGGAGGCTACAGAATACCCTGATTTAAACCATCTGTGGGCCAAAGTCCACAAAGCTGAGGGAACTCATCCTTCCCCAGCTACACAAAGGCTTCTTGTTGCTCGCAGTTAGCAAATAAGTGTATGCCTTTTCCTCAATATCTCCACAGGGCATGGATTTCCTGTTATCAAAACATCACTCCTATAATTACAGCTAGATATTCCCTGTGTCAACGCAGCCTGCATAAACTGCATCTTTATCCAGGCAAAATTGCATTTAGGGCCCTAGCTGAATTCTGCAGGAAGAACCCAACCTAGTAGGGGGCTCCTCTTAAGCCAAGACATGCTGGTACTGAGAACCACACAAAGCAATGGGCTGATTTTTTAAAGAGTCATTTGCCTTTGATCTTGTTCTTTTCCCTCCGTGAGCTAAGCCTCTAATTTTCAAAGATTACAAGTATATTCTAATACAAAAGTCAGTGTAACTCCTTGGGAATATGTATGCAGAGAGGAGTGTGTACTGTGGCTTAACAGATGCATTGGGAATATTAGCAACAAATGTATTCGTGATTTCAGCAGATGGGATCCTTGCATAAAAGTGAACATATGATAGACTTGGTTGTTTGTTTCAGTTGTCCACTTGGCAGAAGTTTTAGTTTTGGGTTTTCAGCATAATGCACTAAAACATCTGCCTCCGTTCCTGTGAGTAGCGTTCGTGTTTCCTGCACTTTCCCTTTACATTCAGTTGTACACCTGAAAAACATAAAATGGGTGAAGTAGAGGATATGAACCTTGGAATATTATGACTTGGGAAGGGCTGTTTGATGCATAAACCTATGGACAATGGGTAGGATCTGTGTTCCATTGTTAAAGATTTGCTGCATTTTGTACAGTGTGAAAACTTTTATTTGCAAGTGGGTCCTGCAACAAAATACTGCATTGTGGAGTGTGCCTGCTTAAGTCAATCATGCCCTTTCGCACAATACTCCATTCTGTTCTCTCTCCTACACATTTTTCCATTCCCCCTCCTCCAACAGCCAGTCAGCATTCTGGGGCCATTATGCTTCTTCTTCTTCTTTGATGTTTCTGCAAGTAGTTTCCATCAGATAGCCGTACTCCAAGTCATGGATCTCCTCCTAGGTTTATGCATCTTTGCACAGTGCCACCTGTAGAGAACGATACCTCCCTTCCTCTTTAGTCTCTTCAATCTGAGTAGGTTATAACCCTCACCTTTCCAAATAATATCTGATGATCTGCTTTTATACGATACCTGGTGTGGTGTAGTGGATAGAGTGATAGATTAGGACTCAGGAGGCCTGGGTTCAAACTGTTGAAACTGTTGAGATGGTTTAGGCACTACATCCAGTTATTTCTCCCTGGCGGTTGCTGGTGGATCGCTTTGCTGTCTGGCAAATTTCTCCCTGAGGTGATAGCTTCTTTCTGCCCTTATATACTGCCTACATTCTGCTTCGTTATTTCTCCCTGCCAATTTGGTTGACTTCTTGGCAGAGCTGATAATGTAGACAGCTAGCAAACAAGCATGGAAACTTCTGCTAGTTCTGTAAAATTCCTCCAGGAGAGCAAGTTGGTAGCCAATTTAGATAGAACAAGGTCTGAAACAAGTTTTAGCCGACTTTGGAAGAGGTCTCTTGACGCCCTTTCCCATAAGATTCCACCAGTTCGTTCTAAAGAGTTAATGAAGAGCCTGAGCATGGAAGGCACAGAGGAATGGAAACTGACGCTTTGGCAGATGTCTGATTGTGGTGACAAGTAATGAGATGAATCATCTTTCTAACTACAGCTGTGCTCCTTGTGTGTGTGCATTATGTTGATGTGTAGAGTGGCCCGTGTCCTCTGCTTTAACCTTGAAATACTGGTGTGGGTGGAACTAATGGGTTGACATCGAGAGCACAGCATCATTCAGCAAGTGCTTTCTGGCTGAGGTTAAAGGATGGGGAAAATGCTGCCTTTGCAGTAACCAGATCTTCCTTTGGAGCCCTGTGCAATCAGACCTTTCCCTTGGCTGTCTCAGCAGCTAGAGCAGCGAGAATTCTTCCAAAAAAACAAAACAAAACAAAACAAAAAACCCTCCCACCTCAGCTTCCCTGGATCATCACCCTGGAGGTTCAAAGAGGCTGGAGTGGGAGTTTGTTGAGCTGCAGAAGTATATTATTCGGGAGGCATTACATGCAGAGCTGTTGTTACTGTTAGGGTTAGAGAGACAAGACCAAGAATTGCAGGACACTTAAATAATTGAAATGGTGCAGGAATGTATGGTGCTAGACTTCTAAGTTTCACAAAAGGCTTGTTGGTCCTGGTAGTTTCTGAAAATCAGTCTCTGTGTTGGTTAGTGGGCTTTTTGAAGGAATGTACGTTGAAGAACATTGAGAAGGGATTAATTTAAAAGAAGGAACATCATCATCATCAACCATTTCCTTTAAAGGAGGAGTCGTCAGCAGTGATGCAGAGAGCATAGGAAAGTGGAGGCAGGGTAAGAGTATAGGTTGACTTCCTACAGGGCAGATGTGTTGATGAATACTTGGCAAAAAACCATTGTACGACTATTGGGCGGTGTGGGGCAGGAACATAGCTTTGAACAAATCCCACAGATTGGCAGTCTGCATTGCTTCCATCTCTTGGCAGGGTTTATTAATCCTCTCATTTAAAGCATCAAAGCTTGTTCCATCATTTCTCAGCATAGCTGAACCCAGCATTACATGACCAGAAAAAATACCAGAAAAAATCTGCTGTGTATTAAAAAGATGAAATGGTTCTTGAGAAAGGAATCTCGGGGCAGGAGAATGAGGTGTAGCTAGGCTTAAGGTACATTCCCTCTGGTGCTCAACCATTAGTTCAGACTTTCCCTTGACAGCAACCTGCTGGAATTGTTGTTTTTAACAAAAATTGGACAGTGGAGGATAAAAGCCCCCCTCGTGAATATAAATATGTGGAAGAAAAGATCTGCTTGCACTAAAAAGCCAGGATGGTCAGGAGAGGAATTATATTAAAGAATTGTGAGTTGCACCCTCCATTGTGCCTGTAGGGCACTGGAAAAATGGAGCCAGGGCTTGCAGGATCAAAGCTTAGTTCATTTTGGTTAGTAGGTGCTATGAAATAATTCACCACCTGTCCTCATCCCCCCTCCTCTGATTCTTCTGATCTTAACTTGCAGTCCTTACACTTTATAGGAGAGAAATGGATTTCCCAAAGGACAGTATGTTGACGGAAGGTATTCCTTAATGTGAAGTATTCAATACGTTTTCGTTCCGAGTAGGAAATTACGTGTTATTATCTTTACAAAACCCTTGGCTCCTGGTGGGAACAAAAAGTTCTGAAACTCATTTGTTGATATAGACTGATTTAGCTGTGCACATCATTGGACTCTCCTGGAGGTGTGGTAGCAACTGATAGGGATTGTCATGATGGTGGAGCACATGAACTTCCAAATGTATTGTAACACCACTGCTGTTAAACAGATGGGAAGGCTATCTGTCCGGATTGAGACCTGGGAAACTGTAGTGGGGGGCATTTATGCTAGCAAGAAGTGTCTTAGCCTAAAATATATAAAATTCCTGAGGGATCTCAGGGTGCCAAAACTAGCTCCTGCTCTATGTTTAGACATGTTGCAGGTATTTCTGAGAATCAGTATACAATTAAGTATACTGATTCAGATGGTGGCATCATGCATTTCTTGGATCACAAGAATTGCCAAGAGAGTTTTAGCCATTGGGTAGTATTAGAAGTAAAATAAATCGAAGTAAGAAAAAAATGTCCTGATGAGCTAGGACAGCTGGAAAAACCCAGAAAGAGATGGCTTAATTTGGGTTGGGACCCACAGTTGCTCGGTTCCAGGGCACATACTTTAGCTTTTAATTTTAAGCATGTGACATTCCATGGCAGAAGAAAGCCTCCTCCCCTTGTAATTAAGTGGCTTTACCTTTCCACCAGACAAGGTCTTTCAGAAGCCCATTCCCAGTCCTGGCACCATTACAAAATCATAGAATCACAAGGAGACTTGTTTTATTTGCAGAGCCATTGCGCCTCTGTACCACATCCATACTTGAATAAATGCCCACAACCATTCTTTTCTGGCCAAATATGGGCAA